GTTTCTGCACTGCTTTGTTCAAAAGTAGTCTTTTTCTTAGGTACTTGTGAAAAATTGTATGTTTTAAACTTTTTTTCATAATATAGTTATTCTTTTATTTTTCTTGATTATGAGAAAGATACACACTAAATGTTAAACGTTTCAGTTATAACTTTGATTCAAATTACCTTGCATTTGATTTTTTCCTTTAGTCAAATATGTTATTTTGAGATACTTGTCCTATTGTCTGTTATAAGGTTTCTGTGTCAATACTGGTTCAAGTAGGTTACGAGTGATTAAAAAGGGCTGAAATTTAAAAATCAAAATTTCCACTCCTTGAAAGTCTTGGAAAAATTAAGTGTGTAGATGAAAGCTATAGAAATACTTAAATTTGGGCAGTTTGGTTTCTTTGTCCTTCTTTTTTTCACATACTTAGATTACTAAAGAATGTATAATCAATTTAAAAAAAAAGTGAATGATTTGAATCTTAATAATGTTTGCCATTTAAGTTCTAGGTATACCATAAAAACTTGAGTGCAGCATTATAGTCAAGTGTGTAAACATGTGCAAGATACTAACAATGCTAAATACATGCATGATTAAATATGGCTGAAACCTTGAGTATCAGGTTCAATGTTCATCAAGATTGATTGAAATGAATAGACTATGATGGGCTTGTGCATTTTTGATTTGACTTTCCAATGTGTGGTATTGCTTATTGCTAGAGAGAATTAAGCAAATAAAGTGTATTGTAAGCCATGTTTAAATATCTTGGACATTGGTAACATGAGGAAGGTGGTGCTTATTGGCCACGTGAAAGGCACAAAACACAGAATTCACTAAGAATAAAACAAGAGCTATGGAAATCCTTTTGCCTGTTTAGTGCTGTGACTAAGCCTATGGAAGAAAAGACAGCAATCAGTATGTCTAGTATTACTAGTAGTAACATTAGTGGTTAGGCGTAGGCCTACACATGAGAGTGAAGGTTATGTTAGGCCCAATGCTGTATGCTGAAATTCTTTAGTCATTAAAAACAAAAGCTTCTCAATACAGTTATAAACCATGTGAATATTTGGGGGATTTTTTTTGGTTCATATTTCTGGACAGCCAGAGTGTTGAAACATTTACATGTGGTGAACAGGAAAGCCAACTGTCTTGTCTGTCATGGTTTGGCATCCTTAAAAAAAAGCATGGTGCTCAGTGGTGATTTTATATGAATCCTACAAATGGATATCATAGTATAGATTTAGACAAGTGACCATGGGAATACCAGGTACCAGCAGGGCTGTATTCTTGGGTCATGGTACAGCCACTAATATTCTAGAACATTTCCAGTCTTGTTCTCAGAACCCGAGATTTGATCACATCGTGCATGTATTGGTGGAAGACCCAAATGTTAATTGACAGTTTTATGAGAAATTGCAGAGCAAAGTGAAAGAATAATTTGGATGTTAATTTTCAAATCTAGACTCACGTGGTCTGTACATTCATGTCTACTAGAAGTACTAGCCAAGAACTGCTTGGATTTCATTGGTATGGGGGCTTTTGTTCTTTTCTTTGCTTTAGTCCTCACTTCACTTTCTTTTTTGTACCTTTACACCATGGCCTTGAGAGCTTTATTGGTGAAACTGGCTTATACCTGTTTTCTACCCTGCCCTCAATTTTTCTCAATTGTGTCCAATTTGGTTTCTTTATTTCTGGGACTTGCTTATTCAGTATACCTTTCTTTCAGGTGTTTGTCTCCTTTAATCTTATTATAGAGGCCTCTATCTGGCACCTTTCCTTTGTGACCAGGTCTTTCAAGGTTTCCTTAAACTTGTGGAAACTTGAGCTGTTTGTGAGCAGTCTTCTCCGATTACTTTCATTTCCTAATTTTCTCAATCTAGGGGATCTTAACAGGTTTCTTGTTCTTCAAAATATCGAGTTACCCTCTTTCTGTTTCTCGGGCCTCTTACTCTAGGAGAGTTTGCCATTGTGAATCATGGAGGTGATTTGCTTTTTGAGCCACCCATTGGCTCTGGTCCACTTTTTGAACTTAACCTCATTTTTCTTCTTCTCCAGTTGTCTTTTTCACATCCCTCAGATCTCGTGCACATAGCTGTCTTTTCTATGGGATTTGAATGCCATGAAACAGGTCTTCAGCCTTTTCATGAATGTTACTCCCATCTTTTTGATGTTCTTAAGAAGATGGGAGATTAGTGCCATCAATCTCACATTTTTGAAGCAATTTTTTGTCTTTTGTCATCCCTTATCGAAGGTGGTCAGTTTTCTCAACCTGAGGTAGGTGTTCCCTCCTGGACTGTGGATGACCAAAGTCAATGTTTCAGATGCTTTTCTCCAATCCCAATTTATCTGTATGTTGTCACTTTGGTTCATCTAAGACAATACGAGTTTTCAGCTGTGGCTCCATATGTATTTTAGTTGGTTCATAGGTGTGTTCATGCAGAGGATGCAGTTGAGAGTCTCCATTTGCATTGCTATATGAATGACAGGCCTCTTCTTGCTGTGCTCAAAGAAGCACCTATGGCTGTGTCTTTCTCCTTTGGAAGATTTCTCATTTGAGTTGGCTGGTAAAGTTCTCCAAATCTGTCTTGACCTCTTGCACATTATCTGATTCACTTGTGAGTTTTTTCAAGTTGAGCTCAGTCATTTTTACTATTTCAAGCGATGGAGCTTCTGGTTACTATAAGCTCTTATGTCTTCTCTTCCTGCACAAGAGGATTAGTCTGGCTTCACTTGAGTTCCTCATTTCTCTCACATGTATCCATATGCATCCTTTTCAGTGGAAACCGGGAAGATCAATGGAATATGTCTAGGTTCTCAGTTGTATCTTTCCCTCCATCTTGTGATCTCTTGTTATTGTGCCAGCTCAATCAGTCCCATATGCCAGTGGGTATCTTCTACTCCACCTCTTCTGGATCTGTTTACTGTTACCTCTCTTTATGGGTAGGGGTGTTTCTGTACCCCTACACTTTTTCCTTGGTATGTTTTCAGGGTAGCAGTCTCTCAGTATAAACTTCATTACTCATCAAGCTTGCTGTCATCTTCAGTCTTATCTGTGTAGTCTTCTTATGGTAATCCATTCAGGTAACTCCACTGTTATGTTTTACATCAACTAACAGGGAGTAACTCAATCTTGAGACTTCTGCTTTCTGGCTCTAAACATTCTTTATTGGGCCCACAACCACCACATTCAGTTGTCTGCCTGTCATTTCCTGGGAGCTTTGAACGTGGTTGTAGATTAACTGTTTTACGTGGACCTGATCATGTAATTCCCTTAGAGTGGTACCTCCATTTGCAGTGTTTCAGTGGATTTGGGAGTTCTGTCAATGATTCTGTTGTGATTTCCTTCAAGACTGAGCTTCTTTTCTGGTCACCAATCTCACAATGCAGCTTGTAAATGCTTTCAGCTAGGATTGGACCAATATTTGTTTTTTCCCCTGACTTTTCAGGAATTGTTGATCTATTTCTATAAGTGTCACTTACAGGATGACTTTGTCAACAACCTTCTATCTCTTCCCCAGCCCTCCTCCATTTCTTACTCCACCTGCCTTTTCTCATTAGTAGTCCTCCTCATCTAGTCCCTCTCCCAGAATGGAACCTCTGTTTCATTATTCAGGTTATCACACATTCCTTGTACTAGTATCATCTTTCTTTCAAGACAGTCTAGGAGCCAAATGCTCAAAAGTGTTGTCTTGTTGCACCCCTAAGGTGGAAAAGATTTGATGGTACCATATGAAAGCTTATAGTCTCAGGATCAGTATTAGGCTGAGTGTCCAGTTCCTAGGTGCAGCAGCATGTTCAAAACTATGCTTTCATAAGTGTATCTCTATTACAAAAATCAAAAAGTTGTTTTCAGATTCTGACCTACCATCAGTAAAACACATCAACAATTAGTTTTTGCTTTTTGACACAGAATAAACATGCAAAGTTATGGTCTGAATTTTATTGTGCAAAAATGTAACATAGTTTCAATGATTTTTTATCAACAACTTTAAAGAAAATAGATCTGTTCAATACCAAAATCACCAGAAAATATGAATAATAAACATTTATTTTAATGATATATAATCATACATCAAAATGTAAATTGGCTATATTATACATGTATTGGGAAACAGATTTAAGGTTCCTACACTTGCATATACCTGTTCCATTAGGCTAAGCTTAAAAAATTGTTTGATGTTGCCTACTCACCCCTCCGAGGTATGGGTAGGTAGGTAGGCTATTATTTTTCAGGTTGCCAATGGCACGAAATATCTAGGGGAGGTCTGGGGGCATGTCCCCTGGAAATTTTTAAATAAAGTCATAAATGGTGCATTCTCAAAGCTTACATGCAGAAAAAAAAAGATCACTTGATGACTGCTATGAATTTATTTTATACATTGAAAATCCAGTTGTATTTTCTTAAAATTTTGCCAAGTTTTTTTACACATGTTTTGAGGACATGCATCCATGAAGAGATCATCAGCTGCCATTTCATCATACATATCCGTCCATGTAGAATTTAGATTGAATTGCTTTGTTCTGTTCTTGCTTATGCAGGAATTTGTAGCATAAAACTAGGCTACTTCTCTGGAAAGATGGCATTACTCTATGTGCCAGTAAACAGCTCACATGGTTGTGTTCACTGTGCATATCCTTTTGCACATTTATATGGAAGCATATTGCCAATGCATGCAAACAATCGCATAAGCAGCCGAAATGTTTGTTGATTTATATGTAATGTGTGGAAACTAAATACTTTGCAGAACAAAAAGTGACCAAGCAGATAAAAAAGGAGGGGAGGAAACAAATCACTAAAAAATAAATTGAGTCAGGCCATTTATTACTTTTTGCCTTATATGAACATTAAGAAGAGTATCACAGGAAATGATTACATAATTCATACTTATAACACAGAATTACAATTTCATTAGTAATTATATGTTTACAGAGTGAGCAACCTGCATTCTGAGCAGGTTACAGACTTGTACATAAATTCCAATCATTTTCCCTGCATTCACAAAATAAAATAATATTATAATCTTTGAGCAACCATGTTGTTCAAATAAGGTACAAATATGTATACTAGTGCACAGTATATTTGATGAAGATTAAGTTCAAAATGATCTATGTTATGGAATTACCAGGAAGGGTAAGACAGACCATCTCACTACACCATGCCATTCTTGGTGGTTAAGCCAGCTGGATAGGTTTCGTGTTCTCCTTGGGATGCAAGTCTATGATGTTTTCTCCGTGCACCTGGTTATTCTGCTCTCTCATACAAGTATTTCTCCATTATGAAACAGTATCTTATAACTCGAGCCACATTACACACTCGAGCTTAGGTGTCCACTTGAGGTAATGGCTGGTTCAGAAATGTGTTCACCTGTGCAACACCTTAGCATCATCCAAAGGTTCTTTTGTCAATATTTTTTGCACTACTGCCTCTGTGGGCAAAAAGTATTCTTTGCTTGAGACATATGTAATATCCAATGAAGTGATGCCCGACTAGGCTTATATCCCTCTTCTTAGTGGATGAGATACTCCATGGGTTTTTCTTTTGTGAAAGGGGTTAATCTTTGTAATTTCTTTATCTAGATTGGCCCTTCCACTATACACTAAATGTGGGATTCTAGTTCTTTGTTATGCAGAGATGATTACTCCCCTCTTTGCACAATGTCCCACCATTCCTTCCCACTTCCAGTGCATTTAGTCTGCTTAGTCATGAATGAGCCTTTGTTCAAATGCTAGTGTGCATTGGGGATATGTCACTCTCCTATTGGTGAAGGGCTAGAATCTAATGATGGTTATTTCATAAGTTGATACATTAGATGTTAATGTGTGTAAGAGTGGGAGCTTCATCAAAGCTTATGGTATGTGCAGAAGTCTTCACAACAGTGCGAGGTAACAACCCTTTGAAATGTTAACTTTCCACCAATATTAGATTTGTGTGTGATAAAGAATCCTTTCTTTCTACTGGTGGTAGAAATGTATATAATAAACAGTATGTTGCTGTAAGAGTGCATGGTGTTATGTCAATTGAGGGTTTGTCTGTGAGACTTGTGTGGAACTGTTTGGTTTCTTAGTGTGTTTGCAAGAGAAGCTTACTCTGTAAAATGTTTGAAGTAAGGGGTTGTTGGGAATATTACATTTAGAATTAACACAGATTGGATTGCCAGTTTGCTGGCATCAGTAATTAATTTAGCCATTCATCTCTCAAACATTTTACAACATTGTTTTGAGATATATATTTAATGTTATATGGAAGGCTATATTAGGGCTTGTGATTTGGTATTCCTTTTCTTTCTAGTCTGGTGTTGGATAGTAGTAGAAAATAGGACAGCTTCAATGAGATAAATGGCATAGCATAGGTCAGAAACTTTTGTTTCTCTTTGCCCCAATGTGTGATTTAGCATTAAGTGGTGCCTGATTTTAAGTATTTTATATTGCTGTGAGTGAGAGGTGAGATTGCCACAAGACGTCGGGAGAAGCTGTGAGGAGATCTGGAAATAAGGAGACTCATTGAACAGTTTCTTGACAAAGCATGTCTGCTTCTGTTTGAAATACTGAACCTATATCATAAGTATTAATTAAGTAGGTAGTCTGAAGTGAACAAACTTGATTATTTTCAATCTTAGAAAACTTAGATTTTGTTTTAAGCAAATATTAAGATGGTCCTTTTTAGGACAGGGATCTATGGATCCAAAATGTATTAGAAATTTTGCTGTGGGGGAAACGGGACAAATGGTCCCAAGTTATTACTTGGTTAAATGAAATAAAATTTCTAAGTTCTATTCTTCAATAGGATAGCAGGCAATGTTTTATACAACTAGTAGTTCTCTGTAAAGTCAACATGTGTCTATCCTATAATTATCAACCCTTCTTTTATGTTTCTGGTCATACTGACCCAAAGCAAATTTAACAACAGTAGAAAAGCCTTACATTCTTAACTTTGCATAGCTTTTACTCTTTCATGTCAACTATTATAAATGAATGAACTCTCATTATAATAAACTTAATTATATTTACATGTGGAATGTAAAAACAGAAATACTTTCTGACCTTTTTATTCTTTGTCAAGACACTTGTTACAAACAAAATTTATGGAATTTCTAAGAGTGTCTGTTGTATTTCCAGAGGTTTGAGGTACTTTCTGAGTAGAAATCAGAGACCCCAAGCAGAGATTTTGAAAGCAACAATACTGAAAGTGAAAGAATTGGAAAAGCAAATATTACACGAGTTTCAAAGTGCTTTTGCTATTCCAGTGAAGCACATGGATCATTTAAACAAAGAACTTCCAAAAACAAGCAGCAGAAAAGCTGGAGAAGATATAACTCAATCTTCCCCTGTTGCAAGGAAAACAGATGATACAGATCATTCTCTACTCTACCTCAGTGAAGAGACTAAACCATTTTTATCACCACAATATGAGAGAAAGTTTTGTTTACAGAAAAGTCTGGTTGATGACATCAGCAGGATGATGACTGAAATAGCAACTTTATTGGAAGAATTAGGTTTTGCAGATTTAATTAAGAAGTAACACTACATTAAAAAGCTATATATGTGTTAAAAAGAAGCACTGAATCTTATCTCCAATATTTATTCTTAAGGTAAGAATGGTCTCTCGTGGATAAGTAACATTTCATAATAGTATGAAATATAATTGTTTAATGGTTTATGCATGTTTTTGTTTCCTCAAATATCTCAGATAATTTTCCACAAACTTTATCCATTTTAACATTCACCTTTCTGCATATTTAAAATCTACTTCTTAAAAATGTGTTATACCAATATTTGGTTTTACAACTAGTGTAATACTTAAAAACACACAATGATGTTATAGCAGAAGTAAAAGTTTTCACCAGTAATTAATATAGTTTCTATTACCACTTTTTTAAAGGATTTTGGTGAGCTTATCTTCAGTTATTACTTTAACAATTTTAATATTTCCACTAATTTTGTTGTTTTTTGGTGTCTGAATAAGGTTGAAGTGATTCTGTCTGTAATGTATTAGATGATGATAATGAGAATTATTCAAGTTCATTTATCTAATAAAGAAAACTGACAATTTTACAAGAAACTGAAAGGTATGGTGGGAATGTTGTCTTACCTGCATTGGAACATAAGTTTTGCATATATGTTCTTTGTAATAATTACTTAGTGATAAAATTTTTTATTGCTTCTACTACCTGTTCTTCCAGGAAGTTCAGCCTTGCCATAACCATTTTGATGAAGAAGTGGCCAATCTTAGATCAGTAGTCACTGGAATTCCAAATAGCGCTGTGTTCAAAGTATGTCAGATGTCTCTGGGAGAATTGTAGCTAGACTTTGAAGTTAAATAAATATCAGATTTACCTCCATTAGCTAAATTTGTACATGATTTTGCTCTCTTCCCACCTTGTAGGTACCAAACATCCATGTATAATCATAGAGCAACTCCAAAATATATATATAAAAATTTTTTAAACCATTTTTGTGCAGGAATGAACTGCTTTCCTCAATATCATAACAAGCAATGCATTTCTTTCACCAGGTACCAGTCTATTAATTATGGAACACTGTTCAAGATCCCAATGTTTCAGCAATAAAACTAATGTCTTATGATGAGAGAAATCAAGTTTAGATACCTGAGGTGGGCACTGTTTCTGCTTAACAATAACAAAAAAATGCCACTTTCAAAACTACTTTCTCTACATCAAACAGAGGATTGCCATATGACACAGCTAAATTACTCTACAGCAAACAGAGGATTGCCATATGACACAGCTAAATTACAGTTATGTTTGATTTGGGGATTGGCATATGACACAGCTAAATTACTCTACAGCAAACAGAGGATTGCCATATGACACAGCTAAATTACAGTTATGTTTGATTTCTGCATTTCACTGATTATTAGTCATTTGTCGAAGCACGTTAAAAAAAGTATTTTCAAAATTAGAAGTGTGTATGGAGTTAGGGATAGTGCAGTCTATTCCAAATCTGGATCATTAGTAGATGATTGTAGTTTCTTTCAACTTTATTAATATTGGAATCTTACGCCCATTCCTACCAACAGCGCTTTATGTGTAACCACTCTTGATGATGGACTGTATCCATCATCAAGGAATGTTCAGCCATCTAGAGTGTTATTCTAATAAATACGATGTAAACAGTGTCAATGTTTCAAGATACCAAACAGTTCCAAGGGAAGTTTTCTTACAAACCAGTTGAACAGTAGCAACAGATTTGATTTAGCCATCTACTATGTATTCTGATCAGAAAAGTATTAAAGTTTATTCCAACTGTTCTTATACTTTATCACCCTTACCAAGTATTTGAAGAAAGGGGATTATTCCAGCTCACACTGGAAACTTGAATGACTTTCTTCGGGATAACTCCTACAAGTTCATTGTCTATTTACAGTATAGTTCTCCAGAAAAAATACTGATGTACATTAATTCTAAAACTCCAGCTTACCTTAGTGTTAGATTTTACATAATTTATTAAGCACACTCTACAATTGGATTATAATGCATGTACTGTTATGTTTCTGTAAAAAACTCCAGTACTTCAACAAGCTTGCTAACTGTAAAAGTATTTGGCTTATAAGCTATCCTAGAAAGAAATAATTAATCTTCTGAATCAAAGTTCTACTGGATCTACAAATTTGACACTTATCATCACAAATCTATGCTCTACAGAGGATGATTATTTTATGTGGCATTGCCAAACTAAACTTTAGTTTTAAGCTTTTATGAAAATTTATATAAAAAACATCTTATTAAAACTTCCTGTAAAGTAAGTTGTGTTATGATATTAAAAAATACTATAAACATACAAAGTAAACTCATCCATTTGGACTGTTATTGTACTATAACTGATTTATAGAAACTTCACAGTATATCACAAAGTTGGAGATTAAACCATTTTGCTACCAGACTTGTTTCTAAAAAACTAGGCTTGCTTATCACCAGAAACTTACTAAACATACCTTAGTATAGTAACACATTTTACAAGCAGACTCATCTTTACAAAACTAGTTTTGCTTGTCACTATAAACCTACTGAACATACACCTTAGTAACACATTTTGAAGTTGTAAATTAACCATTTTTACAAACAGACTTTTCTTTATACAACTAGGCATGCTTATCACCAGAAACTCAGTGAACATACCTTAGTATAGTAACACATTATGGAGGTGGAAGTTAATCATTTTACTACCTAACTCATCTTTATAAAACTAGACATGCTTATATCACCAAAAATTTACTGAACATACCTTAGTACAGTAATGCATTTTGAAATTGGAGAATAAGCCATTTTACTATTGGACTCGTCTTTTCAAAACTAAGCTTTCTTGTCATTAGAAACTTACTGAACATACCTTAGTATAGCAATGCATTTTGAACTTAGAGATTAAACCACTTTACTATCAGACTTATCTTTACAAAACTAGACATGCTTATATTACCAGAAACTTACTAAATATACCTTAGTACAGTAATGTATTTTGAAGTTGGATATCAAAATATTTTATTTTGTGACTCATCTTTACAATACTAGGCTTAGTTGTCACTAGAAACTTACTGAATATACCTTAGTACAGTAATGCATTTCGAAGTTGGAGATTAAATCATCTACCAGACTTATCTTTTCAAAACTAGGCTTCCTTATCACTAGATACTTACTAAACACACCTTAGTGTAGTAATGCATTTTAGACTTGAAGATTAAACCATTTTACTACCAGACTTGTCTTTACAAAACTAGGCTTATTTATCACTAGGAACTTACCGAATACATCTTAGTATAGCAACACACCTATTACTGGACATTTTGATAAGGAGAAAAATCATACAAGCAAACTTCACCTTCTAAACATTAATTTGATTTTTGATTATCAGTGCTTGCTTTAACACAGTATGTTTTAAAAAGGAAAAATACTTCAGCAACATGAACTTGAACAAATGGCAATAAACATTCCATGTTTGATCATATCTTTGTTGAATTATATTAAAATGGAAGAATGTTTGAGTGACAAACATGAAACAAAATGGTGTTAATTTAGAAATAAAAATCTGAACCCTGACCTTAAAGACTGATTACAGCCTTTCATCAGATCCTAGAAGAACAGATCAAACATTACATACTTAAAAGTCTGATTATATATCATGAACAACTTGCACAGATGAAGGACGTCACATGTTGTTGTGATTGCAGTCTAAGAATTAGACAACAATACATGATAAATGACTAACATGATATGCCACAGGATTGTTATGATTGCAGTATAGCAATTAGACAACAATACATCATAAGTTGATTGATGTGAACGACTTGTGGTATGTTTCAGAACATACCAGGATAACATTTAAAGCTGTGCTATGCAGTAAAAAATGTTTATAAACAGAAAGATTTTCTTAAGTTCAGTCTGAAATGTTTTTAGTAAATGGCTTTACCTCTTAAATAAGTTGAATATTTCAATTATTAAAACAACTTCATAAGAGATTCAAAGACAACTTTTAAATATTTTTTTATTACCTCATTAGCACAGTATCAGCATAAACACAGCTGTGAAACTCACATTTTAATACTCCATGTAAGTACAGTTAAAACTGGTATGCTTTATAAAGCAAATTAATGTCTTTCAACATTTCAAAACAGCTCTTACTTTTGTTTCATCTTACCTTTGTCAATATGTGTACTCTATTTACATTCGTGCTTTAAATTCTATTATTTATTCTAGCTCTTATCCTTTTTCCTTACCCAAAACAGTACAAAAACTAGCATCTAATACAGGATCTAAGAATTACAATGTTTAAATACTGTTTTTACATTCTCATGTTGTTTATCTGTTGCACAAAACTTAAGCTGTAAGCATCTATCAATGATGTTTTTGTACTTAAACAATTTGTAAGTCCCATGGCACTAGACATACTTCCTGGGTTATTGTATTAAGTAACATGCGAAATCCAATCATTTGGATAATATAGGGCATTATAAAAACAAACAAAACAAGGAGCAGTTTGCTACACTATACATTACGTCCTTTCACCTTATCTTGTGTGGAGTTTTCTATTTTATTTGCAATCCACATGTCAGTTTCACATTTACTACATGCATTCAACACCTTCCTGAAATCTGCATGTTAAAAAGGTAAAACACTGAAATTCATCCTAACCCTGATTAAAACTTAATTAAAAATGTCAGTTTTTTTTCACACACAAAATGTTCCGTTATTTGTTCTGAAAACACAAGTTTGTAATATACTGACAGACTGAAGTTTTAGACGAGTTTTTTAATATAAGTAACATTAACACAAGATTTTACGAGAATAATAAGTTTTACTTAATTTATAACAATGTTTCCAGTTTCCTTGAAAATTAATATACACAAATAATTGTTCCAGAAGAAAACTCTACAAAACGTCACCATTTTCTGAACATCTCAAGTTAATATTGCTGTTCTAATCACTGTTCTAGGGAAGGAAGTAGAGAGATCAGTACAGAAAGTGGTTCTCAGGAATGTGTAGGCAGGTTGTCTGTTCCTAGTTAGTTCAGCTACTTTCTGATGCTGCAGGTTGTAGATATTCATTGGGTCTCTTGTGGTTGTTAAGTGCTTTTAGTGTTAGTGTATCTTGAGGAAGTTCAGATTTCCTACGCAACAAAGGTTTCTCTTTTCTTACCATTTTCTTAACCTGAAAAGATAAAGAGAAGAATTATATGTATTATTAGCTTCTAATATTCCACATTGAAACATTTGGAAGAAGAAAAATGACAACTGCATTAACTGCAGTTGTTCAAAATACCTTAATCCAATAACAGTTGAAGATAAACAAACAGCAACACTACAAATCAACCAAGTTGTTTCCATGTCAAAAATATTTGTACGATTAAATACTTGAACTACTACATAACTGAATCACCGTATTTATGCAGCACTAACACAAGGGATATTTACCAGTATTACACCTACGTGCACAAACAGGACTAACACAAGAGGTATTTACCAGTGTTACACCTAGATACACAAACAGCACTAACACAAGAGGTATTTACCAGTGTTATTACCTACGTGCACAAACAGGACTAACACAAGGGATATTTACTAGTGTTGCTCAAAGAGCACCAGCACAAGGGGTATTTACTATTGTTACACCTACGTGCACAAACAAGACTAACATATGGGATATTTACTATTGTTACACCTACGTGCACAAACAGGACTAACATATGGGATATTTACCAGTGTTACACCTATGTACATAAACAGAATTAACACCAGAGATATTTACCAGTGTTACACCTATGTACAGAAACAGGATTAACACAAGGGGTATTTACCAGTGTTACACCTAGGTACACAAACAGCACTAACACAAGGGGTAATTACCAGTGTTATGTCTAGGTACACAAACAGCACTAACACAAGGGGTAATTACCAGTGTTATGTCTAGGTACACAAACAGAACTAACACAAGGGGTAATTACCAGTGTTATGCCTAGGTACACAAACAGAACTAACACAAGGGGTAATTACCAGCCTACATACATAAAACTGTGTAAATAATTTCTACACGTTTATAATTTCTTTTGTACTCTGTAATCTATCATTTACCTTGTATATTCTGTTCTAAAAATTTACCATTACAACTTTTGTAAATTGTATTTCGTAACTAATATTAAGACAGATCACTAAGTTTTTGTGTCAAGGTATCGAACCCTTATTACAGTTCTCACCTAATAAATTTTAAGCATCTACTATTGTTCTATCATAACTATATTACAGCAAAGAAAAAATACAAAATAAAAACATTTGATAAACTTCTCACCACATTTGCTCAATGTAAAAGTCTAGTTACTAGTAGCACGTCTTCTAATAATGTTCTATCATAATTATATTACAAGAAAGAAAATACAAAATAACATCTGACAAACCTGTAACCTCATTTGCTTGATCTATAACTCTTGTTACTTGTTGCACAGCCTCTACTAATATTCTATCTTAATTATATTATGGGAAAGAAAAGTACAAAATAAAAACATCTGACACATTTCTCATCTCATTTACTTGATTTACAAGTCTAGTTACTTGTAGCAAATCCTCTACTAATGTTCTACTAATAATATTACAGTAAAGGCACACAGAATATAAAAACATCTGACACAATTCTCACCTCATTTGCTTGAGAACCCAACTTTGTGATTTGTAACACATCATCTTCGTCGACTGGAGTTAATGTAGTCGTTTCTTCTTGTTGCTGGACTGTCCCTCCTTTGTTCAAATCACTATACTATTCCAAAGATACACACAGATTTTTAGTATCACAAGAGCTTGACAAGTAATATTTCTTAACAGCTTTAGGATGATTGAAAAGTAGTGCATGTTAGTCACATCTTATTAATTTTCACATTCATCTCAAAGAATATTATGTTAGTACCAAATAAATATTTATTGTCAAGACAATCTTAAATTATTTATTTTGCCACCTTCACAGGGGTGGTGTTGGTGGTTGTGCCATTCACTGTATGTGTCTAACATATACAAGAAATATGCAAAGACGTCTATGCAAGTGTAAGGCACTGAACATCAATTTCATTAGGGTTTCTTGTAGTAAAAGTTTAAATGGATGTCTAACTCAAACTTTTCAATCAAACATTTAGCCATTTAAAGTCAATCTTCAATGAATTTCCCAAATTTCAGTTCCTCACACAAATTTAACATCAAGAAACTCTACATGCTACAAGAATTAATTCTAAATAATCTGACAGGATCCCCTGTGTTTGTGTCTGGTTCTAGCAAACCACGGGAATGGTAGTTGCTAAAACTAGCATGTTTGCAAAAGATATAAAATAAACAACTGCTATTTAGAAAAAAAAATTACTCAGGAAAAATTCACACAGTTAATCAAAAGAGAAAGTTACGTACCTTTGGATTATTTAATGCTAATGTTTCTATTTTTGCCCAGGCTTCTTCTCTATCCTTGTTTCTGTGTTTCTCACTGAAATACAGAAGTTCAAAATCTACTAAAAAAAACAAGCTTTACAAATTTTCAGCAGAATAAACAAACAAAACCAGAATACAGTTCTCCAAGAAGTGAGTTTTCCATTTTAAATGTGCAAAAAAAAAAAAAAAGATCTATCTTAAAATGGTTAAGCCTAACTATATGGTTAAAAACTTAAAATAAAGATTAAATTTTAAACATAAATGTTATTAAGATAGACTACAAGGTAAAAAATATTCAACACTGTTGAGCTAAAAAGAAATCATTACTTAATAGGACAATTACTCTGGACTGTGACAACAATAATTACAAACTGTGGAAGTTTAAGAACAATCACTTTGAACTGTGAAAGTGTAAGCACAATTACTTTGAACATGGTTCCCACACCTTGGGCAGAATGAAATTCCCCAACTTCTTCCAGACCAAAATATGTTATTCCCTGGCTATTTAATCAATGCTTGTAATTTATCAGTGAACTATAACATGCAAAACTAATATTATAGATACACGTTGTATGTTAAGAGTCAAAGTTTGATCAAATATCATTTTGTAAAGTTTCAACATGATTGGTTACGCCATTATTGAATTATTGATACTGTTGCGTCAGCGAGGTCACGTGACTAGTATCGCGCCACTTCTTTCTTGAACCTTCGTGTATTGTCGGGAGATTACTAGATTGGGGGTAGTCTGGTATACATAAGATGGTCACAACGTGACGGGACAATGTGTAGGTAATGAGTAATTGAACTGCAGCCAGAGAGTGTGTGATTGAGTATTGTCGAGCACGTGAGACGTTCTAGTGTTTGTTATAGCGCGACTGTTGAAATTAAGTGTATCGTAAAGTTCTATTCGGAAAGAATAAACCAGTTTTATTTAAGAAAGGACTTGTGTCGCTAAAGTTTCGTCGGAACGAAGTTACAGAAAATTAACTAACGACTGGAGGCGTAACAATACTTTATCAGAGCACACATGGCAAAGGCAGTTTAACCACTTGTTTATGATAATGCATACAGATGAGTTTTTAATTTTAATCATAAAAATGTAATTAGAGCATAAATAACACCACAGGTTTTAATACTTGTGATAATTGCATTGACTTTTAATACATGGAAGAAATGTGTTCACTGTTATAAAATGAAGTGTTCTTTTCATAGCAAAATATTTATTAAAGCAATATTTTCTGTTATTTGTATATGCATAAAATGAAAACAATTTTCAGCTGCTATTCATACACTGCAGTAAACTCATGTTTCTGATACCTATAAAACAAAGATACATGTTAATAAAACTATCCACTGATCCTGAGCATACTGTGCAATTTTCACAACTGCTTTGAAACTGTGCATAAAAGTGCATACACCAAAAATACTGAAGTCTTCATATTAACATGACCATATATTTATCAACTGATCGCGTTACAGAAAATATTTTCAAGTTTACACACATTTTGTAAGTTCTCAAGATCTTCAGATTATACAAATAAGTGGTAAATTCTAATTATACATACAGGGTATTTAATAAACAGAATCAAACTTGCTGATAAAACATCCATTACATTTATAGTTGCATTATAAGTCTATGCCACCACAATCTACAATTGTAAAAAGTATGGTAATTGGCACAGACACAAATGTTACTGCACAAAAACACACTCTTCATTGACAGTAATACTGTAATACAGTATTACACTGCTCAAGTGTCAAGTTCGTCATTTTGTTCTCACATAATGTTGTTTATAACACTAAATAAAAGCTGCTACTAAGTAAAATTTCAACTTATAAGTACACACATTTTTTTTAAATTCTGGTATGGTCCTTGGGTTTAGATACAATGGCAAACATGTCACCCGTACTTGACCACACTATCAATACACAATCTCCGTTTCAAGAATATACGGCAGTCTGACAATTCAAAACAATACCAAATCTATTAACCGTAATTCTGTCAAGCTGAACGTGCTCACCTTCACCTTGTCTTTACTCTCTGCACTCTTAGCATTTTTTAATTTATTTTACAAGTAGTTTCCAAATATACCACTCAGATATCTACTGCAAAAAATTAATTAGATTATTAGGTAAACAAATAACATGAATAACAAACAGCACTGTATCATCAGAAACCCTTACATGTGCCATATTATTAGTTAGTCAATGAAACAATCTATATTGAAGTAATTCTTAAATTTTTTTCCAAAACTTGTTAGCCTCAAATTACTGATATCACACACTGCCATCCATATTTTATTTCTATATAGATTTTCCTTAACTGTCATTGGTGATATTCTACCCTTCACTTGAAAATACTGTCTATCAATGAGTACTGTGAAGTGCTACTATACATTGATATTGTGTACCATAGGCAATGTTTAATGATGTACATTTGTTTTATTAAGAATGAAAACAAAATCACAGATAAATTATTTCATATAATTATTACAGTTACTTTTGATAATTAATTGGGTAAATATAAGTACAGATATGAAATAAATATAATAACTCACCAAAACTGTGTAGATTTATTCAACCTTTGAACTGTCAGGCTTTAGTGAAATAATCAAATTGTTTTCATTTTACATCTTCCAAATCTTTCCAACACAAATATGTCAATGGCCTAATATACCCAGGGTATTATGTGTTCCTTCTATAACTATTGACCTGGAGACTGTTTTATTAATTAAATTTTGAAAATAACTTACTAAAACCTTGTGACAAAAAAGAAAAATGCTTTTAAATTTGTAATATGAAAATAAGTTATTTAATGGAAACAATATCTCTAAATAGTAATTTTTAAGGGTGTTTAGGCTGTTATAAAACAATTCTCCACAACCTAGTATTATGAAAGACAATATGAAGCCTTGTCCACAGCCCTTACACTATTTAAGCAGCAACCTAGCTATTGTTTTCATAACAATATATGGCAAATGAAAAGATTGATGTAGAAAAAGCAATGTTTATTCATAAAATACACATACTCGCATGCTAGTATTTAGTTTTCTGGCCCTAATGATGATTTATTTTTTTGACATCCGTGTCCTAGAAGCATCACTGATTCACATGAAATTAAGATTTTTTTATGGTTTTTGTCTGTAAAATAAAATTCCCTAATGTTTCTCAGGCCAGTAACTTACAATATTAAATTTGACTTTACCTATTTCTGTAACCTATAGGAACCATGCATGAAATTTGATAGTGTAAGAATAATCACTTCAAACTGTGAAATTGTAAGGAAAATCACTTTGAAATATGTATTTTGTAAGGAAAGCCACTAGAAACTGAGAAAGTTTAAAAACAATCATTTTGAACTGTAACAGTGTAAGAATAATCAGTATGCTCTCTGGCAGTGTGTTTTCATAACATGATTGACCCTTTCAAGTGTTCATGACATATTCTCCAGCAGTTTTATTTCTATTTATTAGTCTCTGGCAGCTCTCACCTCTTAAATTGTGTATATGAGAGTTACAAAATTCCTCGTATCTGTGGTTGAACTTATATTGACCAAACTAGTAGAAATTTAAAGTTTAGAATCTAGGAACATAAAAATGTGGTAGAAACATACAAAGTAAATGAATTTGTATTAGAATAACATGTGGCAGAAACATCTCATGTTAAAGACTGGAGTAACACTAAATCAATAAATAAGGTAGAATTTAAATTTCAATTAAATATCAGAGAAACTATCAAAATTTGAAAAAAATATAAAGATATCGCATTAAACAACGAAGCTGGTTCAGACCTAGAAATAATAAAGTAGTGGGCAGATGTTTTGTAACTCTGGGTCATTTAAGCCTAGGTGGCACTACAGGAATGTAAGTGATTATGTGGGTGTACAAGTCCTAACCATACCGTAACCACTACTCCTCAAGATGGTGTCATAGAACACTGAAACATATGTAGTCTTTTAGAGCAAGTCTCTGTTTTAATAACTATTTATTGTGTAATGATTTTAACATTGTATACCTCTAACAGTGTTTACATCTAGACCTCTGGCTGATTTTAGAACATGTTTGATCGCTGGAGTGTTTACGCCTTGATTTCTTACAGTATTTACGTCTTGGTCTGTGGCAGTTTTCCTTACCTGCTTTATCTCTTGCAAAGTTTATTTGTTGGTTTCTTGTAGCATTCATGCTATATTTCTATTACAAAAATGTTTCATTTGCATAATCTCTAGAACCTCCTAAAAGGATATCAAAAACTTTTTAAAGATAAATGTTTATATTTTGTTTTTCATTTTCTCTAACATACCACTAACTATATATTATCATCAGTGTACAATGCAATGAAATAATTAAAATTAGAAAACAGAACAAAAATACATACCTTTTAATTTTTTTGTAGAATATCTTTAAAGATTTTCCTTTCATTATATTTGTAATTTCAGGAATTTTCCTTTTCACATGTAGTTAATTTTTAATGTTTTATTTTCCTTTCTTGTCCTTTAATAGTTATCATTCACTATGACACTAGTCAACGGTGCCCTTGAGGCTTATTACAGTGTTTGTAATTTCAGGAATTTTCCTTTTCACATGTAGTTAATTTTTAATGTTTCATTTTCCTTTCTTGTCCTTTAATAGTTATCATTCACTATGACACTAGTCAACGGTGCCCTTGAGGCTTATTACAGTGTTTTTGAGATACGTGTGCAACCCTTCGGCAAAATTTTCGTTTAGCCCGTAATATCGTAAACCTTTAGAATGGATGCTAAGTATGATGAATGTTGAAAAAATATTTAAACCTTTTGATTATGCATTTTAAAACATAACTAAAATATAATAGTAAAACCTAAATACAATTTAAACTGCATCTTCAACTATAACATATTTAGGTAAGAAACAACCGTAAGTTGATCAAGCAGCCAACAATACTACCTGTCAATTCCATGTACTCCATGATGACTACTGGCTGCCAATTTCAAAATAACCTTTGTTAGATTATAGTGAAAAATGATCTCTTTCTAATGACAATAAGCATATGTACGTAACATTTACATGTAGGCTATAAAGCTCAAACAAATCTGTTAAAGGTGAGCATGGCATCTGTCAAGGGTTGAAAAAATGTATTAGTTGTTTTAACTGTATTCATTCAGAGAATTTTGAAATGTGCAAGTCAAAAGTTATGTAAAGATCTTATTGTTTAGACATACCTCTACTCAATTAGCATTGTATTATTGATGATACAGAGAGCCAAAGTAGAGAATTTTTCATACCTAGTTGGTCATGTAACAATACATCTGAAGTTTTGAGTAGTTTTTAAAGATTTATTTTGAAATAAAGGACTTAAAACTAAGATAAAATAAAACTTTGAATCATAATATACATTATAATATTAATTTCTTTCATTTACATCAGGTGTTTAAATTTTGAATGTAACACAGTGGCTTGTGCAGAAAAGCATTTAAAGGGGCACCCATTGCAAAAGGGTTAATATACCTTCATAAAAACTGGGAAGATTTTGCTAAAGAATACATGTATTTTGTACGCCAAGAATGAGGTTACTTTTATCAAGTACTTCCAAAAAAATTCGTTATTAATTTATTGTAGTTTATTCGCACTCAAGACTGAATAGTTTGAATGCAAGGTGATTTTCATGCTAAATACAAAAATACTTTTTATATCTTATAATTTTCAAATTTAATTTGCATAACCCCTAGAACCTATTAAATGAATATCAAAAGTTTTTAAGGTAAATATTTATATTTTCCTTTTTCACTTTCTCTAACATATTATGGTATCGTCAGCAGAGATACTTTAGCCTTCAGCAGAATGTTTTTGTGGTCCCTTACTAGGCTCCCATTTGCGAACTGAGGAGGAGTTGGGTTATATTAAAAAAATTATTGAACCTTTAAAGTATGCATTTTAAAACATAAATAATATATAATTAATTAAAGTATAAATACTAAAACATAAATACAATTTAACTGTGCATCTAACTAACATATTTCTAGGTGAGAAACAACATTAAAGTGTTAGTGAGGACAAAAGCAGAAACAATGCTAAGAGCAGCTTGACTAGTTCTCTTGGAATTCTTTCTGCCAATATCAAATTAACTACTGGGAGATCGTATTTCAAAATGTGGTCTTTCTATTGGTTATAAACATCTAGCTCCAATAAATATGATTGGCTGAGAAATCGCAACTATGTGTAGAACATTGACACGGCTTCTGTCAAGATTTCTAAGAAATTTATTTCTTCTTTCTCTGAATGTACCCTAAGGAGCATTAAAGAAGGGTGTTTAAACAACGCAATTAATCTAGTTTCTGTCTATACAAAGTACAGTGTACATGAAGTTACATTGACTAAAGAAAAGTAAGCTTGTGCATCACACGATAACAAAACTGAAGTTTAAAAATGTTTTAAAGGTTTCTTTTGAAATAAATGAATGAAAACTTTAATAATATAAAACATTGCATCATAATGTACATTATAATGCTAATTTCAGTGACATAAATCCATAGTAGTTTCATAATTAAATTTTGAATGTAAGTCATTAAAAGTTCGCATCATGTGGAGAAATACACAGAAAGAAGGGACCTATAACCATAGGGTTAACAGGACTGATTGAGAAGTAGATGAAAAAAGTGGCAAATTTCCTCATATCCAAACTTTTCTTTACCAGTTTTATCACAGTCTTTTCTTAAATTACTGGTAAATGTCTATTGAATTAAGCCAGAATTCTGCAGCAAAAGCAAAACTGTGGTGTAAATGATCGCTGTGGATTTATTTTGTAATTACTTTTAAATTCACTCAAGTACACAGTATATGATCAACTGATGTCACCAGGTAAGTGCTAAATTATGATTTATTGTTGTTAATATTCTGCACTGCAATTGAGCTGCTGCTATTTTTTGAAATTGCACTTTTCAAACAGGAAATTAAAATTCTTTACTTTTGAAAAAGTTACTCCTCCACAATTTCCTAATAAAGAGGAAATATTTAGTCCAAAGAAACAAGAATTTCCTCCTCTCACGAGGAAATTTTATTCTCTTCTTCTTAGAGATAACTCGATTATCCTCCATGCTTCAAAAATTATTTGCCTGGGTTAATTCAAGCATACTATTTCTCACCGTATTTTTAATTATTTGCCCAAATTTAATTGAACGTTATTATGTATTACAATCTGTGCTCACTAAATGGCATTGTATGTCTTGATCTCTATTGAATTTATTCTGAATTATGTATCATAAACAATAAAACTGGTGCTTTACTGTAGTTTCATTGAAATAATATGTCATATATAAATCCAGATATGTAACATTTATTTTTTGTGCATAAATATAGTAACAGATCATACAAGAACTTGTTTCATTAATATATAAGCAAAGGCTAACAAAAAGTGAAATAAAAAGCCTGACTTTTGTTTAGGTCATTTCCAAAAGAGCCTAACATAGAAGGAGTTAACAAGAAAATTTTCAATAAATTTCATTTCATCCTTTTGTTATGAGGACATTTTTACATGAAGTGAACAAAATCCCTGGTTTGTTAGATTAAAAACTTACTGACTTGCCTTTAGGTCCACACAGATTTTATATCTAGGATTTCTTACCCCATGGCAGAGAAACAAAAAACCGATCTGGAAGAGGCTTGAAGTACAATTTATAACATTTTGTGCAGTCAACAAACAGTCTCTCATTCATTTCCATGAATGACTTCAGTGTTGTACATCAGATCATGGATAATGTCTCAGTTTACATCAACTTACTTTTGTCGCTCCTGCTTATAGTTCTGCACACATTCATCAAACAACTTCTGGTTTATCTCCATAAACAACTTCAGGGCATTGTAGATTAATCCATGGATGGTTCTGACAACAGAGAATGAAGAACTTTAAGTACAGTTACACTTTAAATAAACTCAAAACATGAGAAATTATGATTACCAACAACTTTTTTCTAATAAATATTAACAGTTGGGAGTCAAGTTTTCAATGACAAGATATTAACTTGAAGTATATACACATGCCTGAATCAATTCTTATGTCATTTGTTCTCCTATTTTTGAAAGTTATGCATTATTTGATAAAATTACACTTTCTGGCTTTATTTTAAGAAATTCACAACTCCATTATACAAACTATTCCATTCATAAGGAAATATTTTCTGTTTGGCCTATTAATTAGTTATTTGTTCTACTAAAGAAAGTGGTTTTATTTATTATCTAAGGTGTTCTTATTTGGCCTATCAGATAAAGCACTTCTATGTGAAAATGATACTATTTGATCTATTAAACAGTGTTACCTATTTGGTCTATTAGATAAAGCATTTCTATATATTCTATTTACACAATAACATAACTTAAGGACAACAAGGTATGTGTTGATCTATCTAAATCATTCCATCCACTAAACTAACTTAAACTATAAAACAAAAAGCAAAACAAATTTAAAGGCAACCCTTATCATTCAAATGTGTTTCAAGCCTTCAAATCAGCAACATATTTTAAAATGAAAAGTTGATAAGTATTAAATAAATTTAAATTACCATTTTTCTTTTTAGAATGACTACATGTTGTAACAGACCATTACACAATATACTTTCTTACAGCCAAAGCTAACAAACATTTCAAATCTGGGTCCACTTAGTTTTATTACTTTACAGCTGCACTTAGACCCTCTCAGAGTAGGCTAAATCTTTTTATCACATCTGGACAGCTTTGTGTAAAGAAACACAACATAAAAGTTCTAGAGATTATGCAAATGAATTTTGAAAACTGTAAAATTTAAAACAGTATTCTTAATAAGAAATTCACCTTGCACTTGGACTGACTCAGTGAAGGCTTCATAAATTCAGTCAAGTCTTTTGTAAAAATAGTTTTTATGTACAACAGGCTATTGACATCTACTATAAGCTCGCCAAATCTCCTGAAGATACACTGATTACATTAAAAGTTATATATATGCATAGTTTTATGGTAACATGGTGGTTACAAGCTCAGTCCAAATGACCGACCTGGTGTATGGAGAGTTAATGTTCCTATTTCATTAGGTACAGATAGATTTCCTGTTTGGTCTACTGAATATAATGTTAATATTTGGTCCAGAAAAGATAATGTTTCTATTTGGTATGGTAAAGACAGTGGACCTATTAAGTGTGGAAAAGATAGTGTTTCTGTTTCATCTATTCAAGACAATGTTTTTATTCGCTCTATTGAACTGATTTTTCCTATTTTTGTCTATAAAAATAATATTTCTATTTGTTTCTTTACTACACCACACACACTGATAGAACATGTTCATAACACACGAGTAATCCTCATTATATCATGCACATTAATGGAATATGTCTGTAATCCAACATGAGTAATCCTTTTTAGTTAAGCACAAAGCTACACACACACTGATGGAACATGTTCATCATAAATTTCTGCCAATAAATTTGGTAACAGACTGTAGATTATAATTCAAATTTTAATATTATACCTTACTCAATTTCTTAATATAGAAGTAAATATTAAAAAAACACAGTTAAACATCAATTTTTGTGTGTGTCAAGTGGTATGTTGAATGCAGCACTGGTTCAAATTAGATTTTGTGATGTCGAAGTACTAAGTCTATAGTTTCATACAAATTAGGAACTCAAATTACTGATATTGACAAGTTATTTGCTAAGATATTGCCCATATAATAAATCAAATACAGTGGCACCCTGCCCACCTCTTCCCATTTTTGGAAACACTCCCTTGTATATACGACATGGATAACCAATCAGAAGCTCAGAATGTCCCCTAGTGGCTTTCTTAACCGCTTTAACGTGTTTGGATGCCAATTCTTTCTTTTGAACCAAGATTTCAAGGAGGTAGGGTTTGTCTTTAGTCTGCTCAAAATTTCATATTTCTTTTAGACTGAAATACGGCTTAGTTACTAAGCTTGATAAATCATAGTGGAATTCTATGGTATTGATATAGTAAATTACGATTTTTTGGTTATTCAACTGTATATATAACCTAAAAAAAAATCATTTTGTTCATATCCTCCACATGCAAAATTTTAAAAGGCTTAGCAACCAAATACAAAGGTCATAACTGGAAAAGATAATTGTTTGATTTACTTCTTTACTGTTCTATGTTTTAAGAAAAATAAGTTCAAGAACTTATTTCTAATGTATTTTACAAAATACAAGTCTACTAAAATACAGCCAAGACAGGTTATTTTGTAAAGACTAAAGGTCAGTTTTATATTATTGGCTATGGTAATATGAGTGCACATGCATCATGTCATTGTAACTTCTGTATCGTTAGCCAGGCACAGCTGAAAGGTCAATATAATAAAAATAATAAATGTATAATATTATGAGATTTAATCTATTTGGTCTAAACATTTATGTTTTCCTGTTATAATCTGTAGCCACTCTAGAATTAAAAGGCATAATTTATATGTATTTCCTAATTTTTTAACGTGGTTACGAGATCGGTCAAATTGACCAAACCCTTACAGAGATTCATTACTGAAAATAACAGATAAAATATAAAGTTTTTTCTTAAGAAATGTTTGATAACTATCTCGACAATATAATGATTTCACATGTGAAATTGCAAAATTTTCTGATGCATAAAAGTATTTTTAATTTTAAAATGAAAATTACTTTGCACGTTGGATAGGCAACATGCGAAAAGAAAAAAAGGTACGAGTAAAACATTGCTTTACAAACCTTAAAGCTTACATAAAACACAACATACAAGAAAATCTTACTTGTTCCAGTGAGGCTTACATAAAACACAACATACAAGAAAATCTTGCTTGTTCCAGTGAGGCTTACATAAGAAAACAATATAAAAGAAAAACTTACTTGTTCCAGTGTGACTTCGAGTTCCTATACAGTGCTGGAAACATAATTGGAAGAATGTCACTAGCATTATCACTAATTAAACTCATGATGTATTCATTGTTCCAGTAGTACAGAGCTCGTTCTGCAACCTATTGAGAAAAAAGAAACCAAACCTAAATATACTATTTTGTTAACACAACAGTAATTTATCTTAAAATTCAGGTTCAGTGACTTTGAGGTTATATCCCTTTCGCTGCAGGCAGGTTAAAGAGCACATATCCTGACCTTTAAATTTAAATTGACAGTTTATAATTCAAATTTGAATATTATACATGTTTTAGTTTCTTATTCTAAAAAATAATATAAAGAAAAAAATGCTAAATATCAATTTTTGTTTGTCACATAGCACCTCCTATTGTCTTATTGATCAGTTTATATTTTATTACACCTACCATACAACCTGTACAGAGGTTAACAAATTACAAACTCTATTTTGAGATACAGACATGCTAGAATATATAATAAGTACCTTCCACCACTTTGATTTGCTGAGGTGTCAGTATATTTAGCCAATCTAGAAGAATGGCTCCTCCCACTACTCCATTATTTTGAAACCTCTTGTTTAGTTCCACCCATCCCTTTTCACTAAGTGTTTACTACCAAGTGGAAGCACAGTTTCCTGTGTATGTATATCTGACAGTCATTTGTAAATAGCTTGAAGGAGAAAGTCATAATTTCACCAAAACTGTTGTTGTTGCTCTGAACAGGTATGAGATTTTTTAAAATTCATATATATAGCTCATTTAGAAACCCAGATAAATTACAGGGGCTTTGTGTGCACTAATATAGTAAGTTGATTATTATTTTGTTCCCTAAAATATATATTTGAAGTCTACAAAAATTAATCTCTCTTCAGCCTCCACCTAGAAGAATAAAAAGGCTTACAGTGAGGCTTAGCATGTATAACACACAAGCACAAAATCTTATAACACCGTAAGTACTTGAAATCTTCATTTTTCAAAATATTTTTTTTATTATCTTATATTTCAATAAAAATAACTAAAATTTAAGCATTTGTGAATAAATAATATTTATTGGTTGATGAATAAGTTTGCTGAAAGGGAAATATGATTTTATAACTATATGCACAAATATCTTTGTATGCCTATACATGTACCACTAAATTCCAAACATCCCACAAAGATGACCAACACTCAAACACCTGCAATGTTTTTTGGATTGGCTTCGAACCATATAACGAACATTTTCACAGATTCAAAGTGCAATCTTATCAGTCTGGGGAATTCTTGTTGTAAACACTGTAGGATACATAATCTGATAAATTCCACATCGTGTTCTTAAAGCAGTGGTCAAGTAGGCTTATTTCTTTGTACATGCTTTGTTGCTCTTATGAGTATCACAGAACGGTGTCACACAAACAGTCCAATGACACAATTGGTGATTTGTTGCTTTATTTTCAGCAGATTTCTACTTCAGTCGTTAACAGTAAAACTAAATGCAAAATGTTTAGCAGTTAAAACTCTCAAGAGAAGGACTTTGAAATTTCTTGACCAACAATAAAGAAAAAAATGGTACAACTGTTCATTTTATTTCTGATTTTACAACTTTTCATTATACTTTGATGATTTGTCTACTGGCTGAAGAATTGAATATATTCTTAGGATAGAGGTAATAACACATAAAATATAAAATTTTATTGAAAAAAAAATGTTTTATATTTAGGAGGTTTTTGAGGTTACAGAAATGAAATTTGAGATTTTTGAGACAAAGTATTTTAAACCCTTAATTCACAATTCCCTTTACACTTGGACAAGTCAAATAAAAAATTCGATATGTTCACGGACAAATCATGAATAAAAATACTTCATTGAAATAACTGATGTTTTGTGTATAAACGACATGTAATGTTTACTAAAAGTCTTCCAAATTTTGTGAAGATACACAATGTATTAAAAGTTATAGTGTGGAAATTATAAGTACAAAGTGGTTATGAGGTTGGTCAATTCGGCCGATCTAATGTTGAGAGAAATATTACACAATATGCACTTTGATATACTATTACATAATAAATACTTTGGTAACGATTTCATACATTAACCTCTGCATGGGCATCCTCTAATATAGCATAAAATCATCCCCGATAATCCATATTTTAATAGCATACATGTTTTAAGTTTTTAATTTTACAAGACAATATTTAAAAAAAAACCCTGAATTTCCCCTAGTGTGACACATTTTCTCTAGGTATCTTCTCTTCTCTATTTAATCCACCAACCCTACAATAACTACAAAATGAAATGTAAATTACTCACTATAAAATCATCACTGCTTAGACAAACCACAATTTTTATTGCCTTAAATTTTGTTTGGTTACAGAGCTATTAATTAGAAAATCAGACCCCTCCTACCACACCCACCTGTCACATCCTCTCTTTTAGGATTTGTTAATAGTTCTCTCTTACATTTAATTATACATTACCTATAACCAATAGAAAGCAAAGGTTTTCATCTATTAAATGACATATTGTATAACATTCTGTTCTGAACAGATAAGTGTCAATTTAACTTATAATACACAGTTCATTCCCATGGGAAACTTAATGACTAGCTTGGATGACTTTGTAATGGCTCTTGTCACATAGTTAGAGATTAGGGGAATTGTTTACTTTTTGCATATTATTAGTCTATGTACTTTGATGCATTATTTAATTAAATAAAAATTATTTAGTACATTACTACCATCAGAAGGAGGGTTAAGTTTCATCGACAATTGACAGGAAGAAAAAAGAAGATTGGATAAGTACTTTATTTCTTGTTTTTCATGTTTATTCTTTATTATTATAAAAGTAACTAAAATGTAAGAATAGGGATCTTTTTGGGTTAGTTAAGATTAGATTAGGTAAAATAAATAATAATAATATATAAAAATGTTTCACGAGGCACACATGCGAGCAGCTCTTAGTAGCTTGTGGGCAATGTAATTCGATAGCGTAACGTAAGCTCTACATTTCCCAAGTGATTTACAACTTATAATGGTACAAATAGTAGTTAGAAACACTTTCAAAGGGCAGAAATACAATAAAATTTAAGTATAAATAAACATAGTGTCGTGTTACAATTTGAAGTCATTCTAGAAAGAAAAAAAGGGTAATTTCTAGGTTGGTTAAATTGTCCAACCTTTTATATAGTTAGGGTAGAGAAAATAACAGAAAAACATAGTTTTACTGAAAACAAACGTTTGAAATTTATTTAGGAGGTTTTTGAAATTACGCAAATTAAATTTTTGAGATGAAGAAAAGTATCTTTAATCTCAACATGAAAATCACATTGCACTCGGACTAGTAAAAAACGACTTTATATATCCCCAGACAAATCTTTTAGTTTATTAAAAATACTCAACTGAAAATCTGATTTTTTTTATATGTGAAAGACCTATAATGTTTACTGAAATTCTGCCAAATTTAATGAAGAATATACACACTATATTAAAAGTTAGTAATATTAAAACTATTCTGACTTTAAACGAGTACAAAATGGTCATGTGGTCGGTCAATTCGATCGAGCCCGTGTAGAGAGAGTTAAGCACCATTATTGTTATAACAAAATGTTAAAATTGTTACTCCAATGCTATTTAGCACACAAGTCTTCACATATAATTTGGAACTTTGAAAAATGTTTCTTAAACCACTAACTTTACGTTGCTGTAAACAAAACTTTTGAAGTTAATGACCATTAACCTGCTTCTACTTTAAACTATTCACAAGGGTGTTCTCTAATTCAACAAATTGTTTCCATACTCACAAGGATGTTCTCTAATCTAAATAATTATGTTTCCACTCTCACAAGGGTGTTCTCTGATCCAAATAATTATGTTTCAACACTCATTAGTGTGTTCTCTGATCCAAAGAATTTTGTTTGCACACTCACAAGGGTGTTCTCTGATCCAAATAATTATGTTTCAACACTCATAAGTGTGTTCTCTGATCCAAAGAATTTTGTTTGCACACTCATATGGATTTTCTTTGATTTAGAGAATTATGTTTCCACACTCATAAAGGTGTTTTCTGATCCAGAGAATTATGTTTACACACTCATGAGGCTGTTCTCTGATTCAAATAATTGTTTCCACACTCATAAAGGTGTTTTCTGATCCAGAGAATTATGTTTACACACTCATGAGGCTGTTCTCTGATTCAAATAATTGTTTCCACACTCACAAGTGTGTTTTCTGCTTCAATTAATTCTGTTTTCAAACTCATCATTCAACTACAAAACTACTTAAACTTCTAACACAAACCTGAAAATGTGGAGATGAAACACATTTAGCGATCTGTCTAAATAATGGAACCATAACTTTGGTGAATTCTGCTGGTTCTATTACATCCAGGATTTCTTCTAATTCACTGAGAAACATGACCTACAATAATAATAAGCTTTAGAAACTATTATAGTAACTACAGAAAATGTTTACAACTATCGTTCTACTTTAAATGTAAGATTAAAAAAATAACACTTTTTAACAACACCTGTAATGAAAATGTGAAATAAAACTAAAATGTTATAATTTATTGCCTATATTCTCTTTTCTAGCTTATTCAATGTTCAATGAATGCTGTTTAAAAGAAAAGATACATCAAGTCTTTAGCACGAACTGCAAAAGGAACTTAATGTTACTTGAAGCTAATAACTAGTGTTCGTGTACATAAAATGTACTTAATGTTACTTGAAGCTAATAACTAGTCTTCGTGT